TGAATAATTAATTTTCGTATTAATTATTTTAGGTTGAAGAAGTGTTGGAAAGAAAATTAAAAAAAAAAAATTGAAGTATTAGAGGAAAGTTTGGCAAAACCCTATTGACACAAATCTACACATTGTCAAAATAAGGGTGAAAACGTGTCACAACTGAGATATTCACAAGTAATTGGCGTTCTAATGTATATTACGACTACACTCGATCGGATAATGCTTTTGCTGTGAATAAACTTAGTATATTTATGAGTAATTCAGACCATAATTATTGGATGGCATTGATAGGGGTCCTTAGGTATTTGAAATACTATGACCTATGGATTATATTTCACAAGATATCCTGCGGTATTGGAAGGATATTGTGATGCGATGATATAAACTAAGTCTAAAGTGGATGAAATGGGATGAAAGCTGATCATGACGGTTGTTTGGATATACAAGAACAATTGGAATATTAGAGAATATTCATAAAGTTCAAATGCATTGCAATTCTTTAATGATAATATTGAATACCCATGTATGAAATTCACTAGTAAATATGATTGATTAGTGTAATAATTTGATAGAAATTTTTCAATCTTGTTTGGAATTGATAAAGCTTATGAGAAGTATATAGCTTCATAAGGGGATTTCTTAATTGGTGACAATGTGTATCTATCAAATGAATCGATTGTTGGCTAGCTCAATTTGAAAGATACTAAGTCACATATAATCGTAAGTCTAGACGTGTAAGTCGTAGACATAATACCATAAGCAGTTGATCTTATTGGTGTGAACTTGTGGATCCATTTATATATGTTTACCTAAGAGATCAAGTATACTGCATATCGAAGGGAATGAGATTATGCCTACTGAGTAAGAGTCCTTATGATGGTAACCCTACCTTGTTGACTGGAGATCTCAAGATCTTGGTTCAAATGGACAACTAAATTATGAGGATTCCATGAAGCACTTCCTAACTCATTCCTATGATACCAAAGTGCTTTCTACAGAGTTGTTGGAGATTAAGATAATCCTTTAATGATTTTTATATCTTGATTAGGTCAAGTGGAGTATAGCAGAATACTCTTAATGGGAGATTACCTATGCAACTGTGAAATGGGGCCGCTTCAATTAGAATTATTTAAAGTTTGAATTTTCTAAATACTTATAGAACCAAAATGGGTTCAAAGCCAAAATGAGCCAGGTCATAAGAACCATGAACGTTTTATGGGAGACATTGTGTGAGTACTGTTGTCTTGATTTACACCAATGGCTAATGGTTCAAGAACATTGCGTTCACCAATTAGCTAATAAATTCGATAGTATTTCACTACGAAAGATTCAAAGTCAGAAGCTACCTTACCTGATGCAATGTTTTCCACCTCTCTCTCTACTAGTATCTGCATAGACATTTGCATTAATTTTCATTCATATGGGGATTGTTGGAATTTTGTATCGAAAATTGGTTATAACCAATTTTACATGATTATTTAAGTGAAATTCTTAATTTGGTGAATGAGAAATTAAGCCAAATGTAAGTCACTTAATACTTAAAATTGTTGAAAATTGTATAGAATATTGTAAAATATTTTAGAAATATATAAATGTGTCTTTTCATATGAAGGATTATAACTCTTGGTATGGGTATGATTAATTTTCAATAATTGTATCTCTTAATATATAAAAATAAATTTTAAGAGATGTGTCTCTTGTTATGGTTGTGTCCTTTGGCATACATTTTCAACTACTATATATAAACTCCATGTGTTTGGATTTTATCAACAAAAAAAAAAAAAAAATCAATTCATAATTCCATATCATTCCATTTCATATTACACTTTGGTTTTGTATAAAGCATTTGCATCAAAATCATGGTTACGGTAGAGAGAGAACTTCGTTCGAGTTCGTTGTTCTAAGCCATTTGGAGTGTTCCTATAGTTCGACGTGGTCATTGTATCTTGGGAGATGATTGCCGAAGAACCGTTAGCATCAATGCAGGGCAAATTCATTTAAAGGACAAAGTGTCCAACACTTGCCTCGGCCAAAAATCTATCATTTGCATTTTATCACTTCATTTTTTGATTTCTTTGATTATACTTTGATTTCAGAAATTCATTAACCTTGTTTATATATTTATTTTGCAAGGTTCAATCTTCTTTTCATTTAAAAGTAGAAAATGAATGAACCCATAATCATACGTTCAAAGTCGGTAAATTATTAATTTGTCTTCTCAAACCCATTTTGGTAAGTCGACATTACGTTTCGATTTTACGCAAATAGACGACATGATTTTTGTGAATATAATATGTAATAATATCGGTATAATTTCTCCAACAATTATCACTGCAAAGCTGTCCATACCACCACCTACCCCCAATCTTGCGCCAAACCGGCCACCGAATTGGTTGTTTGCCGGCAGCTGTCTCTCTTTGAAATCCCATTATTTAAATAGAATTAGATTTAGCGCGCCCGCGGCCGTATCTCTAAAATCCTTACTATACATATGCATTTTGCATCTGCCTGCCATACCCACCGTTGTGTACAGATTATGATCATAATGAACAATAACTCTTCTTCTTTATTTCTTCACACAGTTATTATACCTTGCAAAATCTCCAATAGAAAGAAAATATATATTAAAAAAGAGGAAATTTCTTAAGATAATGACTCAACCAGACAATACAAATGTAGTTTTAAAATTTTGATTATTTTGTTGGGTTTCAGTTTCATAATTTAATCGTTCTTCCTGATTAAAGGTGGACATTTTTTTCTTATATTTTCAACCTCAGTCACTTAAATAACAGTTGAAATGGTTTTGGAAACGAGTGAACTTGAAAAAATAGATCGTTGAATCCTTGTATGAATGTGAAATTAAGCTCTTGTTTGGTTCTAATTCTTTTCTCATTAAAATGAAAAATATGACCGTTATCCATCCCATCAAGCCACCAAATTTGAATTTCTATCTCTTGTGTGGAGCCCATAACGATAATATTTTTTATTATCATTCTTCCAAAAATGAGAAACAAACGGATCATAAATAAAAATGATAAAAGGTATATATATAGATGGAGCTTTTGAATTTGAACAAATTACGAAGATCCAGAACTTTAAGTTCCCTGATAAATTTATTCTCCCTCCTCAAGTAGTGAGTGTAAAATGGATCAAGAATCCAAAAGACTCCACATTGAACTTATAATCACGAGGATCCTATTTAGGTCACATGATGAAATGTAGTTTTTAAGTTTTTAAATTGTTTTTCCTTAGGACAAGTAAACTTTTATCCTTTACAAAATTATAATACGTTTATTCATTATTAGATAGAGTTGAACATTCTAAGACACTACATTCTACTTGTAATCACAGGGATCTGTTTAGGTCACGTGATGAAATATAGTTTTTTAAGTTTGTAAATTATTTTTCCTTGGGACAAGTAAACTTTTCTCCTTTACAAGTTTATAATATGTTTATTCCTTACTAATCAGAATTTATAATATGTTTATTCTAAAATATTTTATAAGTGCTGTAAAAATAATATTTAACACTAATTTGTTGAGGGGATTTGATAAGTTTTAAACGAACTAAAGAAAATGAAATTTTAAGAGAAAAAATTATACTTTCAAAACTCAACTTCTATAATTTAAATTTTTTGTGATGACGAAACACTACAAATGAGCAATCTTTTATATTACATTTGGTACATGAGAATTAATTGGTAATACATAAATTTAAATACTCATTAAAATTTTTAGATACATGAATATAAATAAATTCATCTATAATAATTCTACATTCATATTGATCAAAATTCATCAAGTAGATTCATTGAGTCTAGGTTAATATTAATGTTAATTAACTGAGAATTAATAACATGAAATTCATATACTATAAGGATTTTGTAGTATTTATTACATATTGAAAAATGAAAAGTAAGGTATTATTGAAATAATTGAATTGTAATCTAGTTAAAATCATCCAAAAAAATGATTATCAATTGATGTTATATTTAATATATTATAGATATAAACTAGTAAAATGTACACATTGAGTGATTTATTCACAAAAATAAAAATGAAACTAGAGGTATCATCAACTGAAATTTTAAAAGATTATCAATTCTAATGAATTTCATCAACTTGAATATATTTTCACAAAATTAATGAAAATCTCATTAAAAATGACGAAGTTTCAAGAGTTTGTTGTGTATTTTTAAACTCGAAATTTGCCTAAATCTTTTGAGATTTCTTTATTAATTAATTAAATTCTTATAAAAAATATAGAGTTATTGAGAATAATGAGATTTTAAAGGATTTTATTAAAATCAGTTAATTTTTTTTGCAACACTTAGATTTCAATGAATTTTAATAAAATACAATAAAATTTCAATTAAGGACATCTGAATTTTGAATGACTTTTAAAATTCATTAAAATCTGAGAGAACGCTCGTAAAAATGATAAGACGATTAAAGAAGAACAAAACATATAGACCTCTATATTTTGTAAAGGCTGGTATCAACGTTATGTACTTTGTAAAATAAGAAGGGCATTTTGATAATAAATAAACAAATATTTTGTGCTCCTAAATAATAATTTAAGAAAATGGGCATGCTATATATATGCCAACCAAAAAAAAAAAAAATGTTCTAGGTCTAGGGTCAACTAATTAATTCTTAATTACATTATTCTATCATTTTATGCAACATAAACTTTTCACTCTTTGGAGATCATCGTTTTATTATTTTCCATTTTGGATTATAGGTTTGCTATTTTCGTTATTTTGATATACCAACATCATATCCAGTAATTTTTATTATTTTTATTAAGAAATTAAAAATAAAGATAGGACTACTAATAAGTCGAATCTTAGCTAATATTTGGTCATTAAAATGGATTATGTTCATTACCCACATAATTGATAAAAAGATAAAATTGGATTCTGGTGCAAATATAATGGAGAAAATCCTATGGGATGGATTAAAGACTAAAGTAGCGAGAGATTTCTTTTAAACTTTTTAAAAGAACATAATATTTTGTTTTGTCAACGTTTTAAAAACTCACAATTATTATTTAAAAAAAATATCATTCATTTATTTCCACTCTTTTCACTTAGACCTATCTACGAAAGAAATTTAAATAGAATGAAGGTGCAAAATAGATATATAGAGTGACTCTGCTAGTTCTTATGTGTACATGAAGATAGACAAGAAGGAGATGAGAGTGAAAAGGGAGTAAAAGCATATGCTTGCGCAATGTTTACATTTAATATGATAGAAGTATTATAAGAGATGGTGAATTTCATATAAATTTGAATATGACGTGACCTCAAAAATTAATGTAACTTTGTTCTTGTCATGAACTTTGTATGCTATGTTCATATGTTTGTAACTTGTTCTTTGTATGAAAAAAAAGAAACAAAGAAAAAGATTAAAACTTAGGTACGATAATGCATGGGGTTTAAAGAACATTAATATATCTTTCTTGGTCACCCAAAAAACGATGTCATATCCATTTATAATTTAATGCTATATTAGCCCCACTACATAGCATTACTCTTTAAACAAGTTTAATGTCCACGCTTAACCCGCTAGGATTTTTCATTTTTCCTATAAAACGTGTCATATTTTATGACATTTCTTGCTTACTTTGAATTCTCATCTTCATCACTCTCCTCTCTCTACTTTCTCTCGATCTATTTTTAATTATCACATTTCATAATCAATTATCACCATAAATGAAAGCTGTGGAGTTCTTGAATTCTCATCTTCTTCACTCTTCTCTCTCTACTTTCTCTCGATCTATTTTTAATTATCACATTTCATAATCAATTATCACCATAAATGAAAGCTGTGGAGTTCTTGAATTCTTTCATTGCAATGGATTGTCAAAATTCAATAAAATTATTATTGAGGAAAATGGAAGCATTGATTCAAGAAAAGATTGATGTTGATCTCAAATGGTCTTTTGCCTTGAACATGTAGCATCAAAATCATTTTTTATTTTTTTTATTTTTTGTTCTGCTATATATGGTACATACACATAGGGGCGGACCCAGACACTTCGACTTGTGGGGTCAAAAATGAAATTTTTTTCGAACAACGTACCATGAACAAAAAGGAGAAATCGATGGTTTGCTATTCGTGTTCGGTGTTTGCACTTTGATAAGAAATTGGTGGATTATAGGCAAATAATTCCTGTAGAAAAAAGAAGCTATAGAAGCAATGCAGACTATATGTAACTCGAGTATGGTTCTTATCACTGATCACTCAGGCATGACCACTGTCAATTTAGAGTATATTTTCAGAAAGTGCAAAACTAAAAGGCTGACTGACTGACTGACTTTCAACAGGGGAAATTTTTTTTTTTTTTCCAAAAAACTGTGAGGTCATTTGACCCCACATGATCCCATGTGGGTCCGCCCTTGCATACGCACATAACTCAAGGAAGCTCAGGCTTGCCCCAAGCCGAATCAATTTTCCTAAGGTTAAAAAAAGGAAAAATTGTAATGGAAAATTTGTTACTATTGAATGTGAAATTGTTATCAAGCCATATAATTACTTTGATTAAAAAATAGTTTTAGTCAAATCATTTTTTATTTGCACATTTTGTAGGAGCCACAAGTGATAACACTTTTTCACTTCTCATTTACTTTTGTTTATAAATATCTTGCCAACTAATTGCTTATTCAACCAAATCTCTAGGTTTGCCGAATGTGAAAATTATGTGGTAATAGCATAACCAAGGCGATGATGATGTTACACGTCATAGTTGTATTGCTACATCATATTTTAGTTTAGTTACACATAGACTTGAATTATATTTGCTGAAGTCCATTCTCTACGTATATTACCAAAGTTAACATTAAATCCATATACGTATCAACATAAGCATACTCTTAATCGGCAAGCACTCGAAATTAAAGAAAATATTTTCTTATATACTTATTAGAGGTAAGATATATGGACTATCTTGCATCCACAAATTAGCATGCCAATTTTAGTTTATCTCAGGCAAGTTTAACTATAAATTTTCTTATTTCGAGGGGTAAATGTATAGGAGTACAAGTTGTGATGTTATGGAAAGGGTATATTTCAATATTTAAGGCACATAGCAATTTTTATTTTTATTGCTATTATATGTGCGCATTGAGAGTGAATTGGACCTCCTGGTGTTTATCGACCTAGGTCACAAGATGTACAAAAAATGGCCACGAATCACTTATTGTCCCTCGAGATACATTTGATGCTAGTCATGGATTTATGTTATGAAAGATCAACTATAAAAATTAAAATGGCTTCGTGTTTTGAAAGTCAAATGCATGTATTATACTGATGGAACTAGTGCACACTTTAAATGTAACTTTCCTGAATCCATAGCCATCATATACATTCAATCAATAATATAAAATATCATTAGTATTATATTAATATAACTATAACCCTTTCACTAAACCTTCTTATCTTTCAAATTCTTTAATGCGTCAACAATGTATATTTATTATCGAATTAAAGAATTTATTAATTTCATTAAAACACTTGAATTAAAACTTCTATTAAAATTCTTTTAGAAAATAACATGAGTCAAATAAATTCTTAAGTTCTCCTACTTGGCTAGTGAGATATTCCTTAACATGGTTTAATAATCAAATCATAATGTTCACACTTTCAATAATAAATTATTTTCTTGGTTCGTCATAATAAACATCATAAAACTAAAAACTAATTAGTCATCACTACAAAAAATTATCGATTTTGCAACTAAAATAAATTGTCAGATAAATAGAAATTTTGTTACAAAAATAATTAAAGGACAACAAGATATTTTTGTGGACATTGTTGCGTTATATTAATCACAAAATGCATTTAACGGCAACTTTTAGTCATTTACCGCACAAACAAATTCGCGACGCTATTTACTTGATATAGATAATATGAAATAGCAACAATATATTTGTTGCTATTATGTCGTCGTAATGCTTGTATCCACGAAAAAAATTAAAAGTACGAGAAGTCCATTCAATTATTTCAAAATTGTTTTTTGTGAGAAAAATGTTTAAAGGTATAACATATGTTACCTATTTCATTTTTCAACAAAACATGCTTCTTGTAATATCCATTTTATAAGAAGTCATCATGTTTGTTGCATAATTTGTTTTACAATGAGTTTGATTCGTCGTATCATTTATTTTAAGATATTCAATATTTGTAGTATAATTTATACATAACAAGTTGTGGTTGTAGTTAAATTTATTTTGTAACACAGGGTGTTCATTGTATTATCATTTGTGTAACAATGTATAATTACATATAGTATAATTGATTTTGTAATATATCTCGTACATTCTATTTTACAACATATAAAATTCTTACCCATGATAATTTGTTACAATGGATATAAATTTATGTAATAGATTGCATTTGGAGTTGTATTTATTCCACAACATCTAGAAGTTTATCGCATCATCAATTAGATACATCCATCTAAATGCAATTCTTCCACCAAGTTTTGATTCTTCAAGTAGGTGAAGTACATGGAGCATTACATCAAATTATGCTAGTGGAAACATTAGTCTAGCTTACATAAAATTATAATATCCCTTCTTATAGTTTCTCTAAATCATTTATATTCAATGCTCTTGAACATAATTGTTGGAAAAAATAACAAAGCTCTACAATAGCATTATACATCTCATTTCACAGAAAACTTGTGAATTCCAAATAGAATTAGTAGTTGTAACAAAAATGACAATCATGAGTTTTTAGACATAATATTTCGCCTTCAATTTCTCGAACAAATATGGAAATATTTGATGCTTATCCATCAAAAAATTTCAAAAATTTCAAAATAACTTACATAAACATGCGTGCTCCAAATCAGCTTTCAGCTTGTTTCTTGCACTACTACACATCTTGAAAGCTTATATGCTGCCTACAGTCAAACAATGGACCAGGAGAAATGAAATCAAGAAAGATGATGCAGAAAATTCACTTGGTCATGCCTTGCTAAAAAATGAAAACATTGGAATCAGGTTAAGGATTACATTTTAGCATGACAAAAAGCCAATCACATTTATAGAAATGAAAACCACACTTACGCATGGCATAATTGTGTAAATTAAATGTTGTAAGAGAAAACAAAAGGCAGAAACCACAAATTGACTTAATCAATTTGTGATGTTGAATTTAATTGTAATCATGCTAAAAATCAAGAATCACATAATAATAAATTGATAAATCAAATTCATACATACGAAAACCATTGTTGATATGAATAATAGCAGCTAGTTCTTCTCCCTTCTTGCTCCTCACAAAGTATTAGCCGTCAATGGGACAAGCTAATAAAAACAATTTGGAGAGGAGAGGAGAGCTAACATTTATATAGAAAATTATTGATTCATCTCATTAATACTAAAACTCTAATTAGGATTTACATATATTTCTGGTCCACATACTTAAAATTACCACATCATATAAAATACAACCCGCAAGGTATAAAATGTCCAATTTATCACTTAATAAATTTGATCCAATCACAAATATCACTATAAGACATACATCAAACCCGTAAAATAAACAATCGAATGTGAAACCCATATTTAGAATTATTTCAACATTCTCCCACTTGGACAAACATTTGATTGTTAAAAGAAAACTTTTGACACTCGAGTTAAACTACATAGGTGGCCATAAAAAGTATAGCTCCAATAATGACACCTTACGTAACATGATCCGATCCAACAAGAATATTAACACCGAACATAGAAGTCATTACACCAATTAAGCGATGTAAGACTATTCTACAGTTACAAATGTCAACATCCTTATCGACATAGATCCCCATCTTACAACCAATGTGGTAGTATATGGTATGAACTTAGCACCAAATATGATAAAAAAATTGTAATAATTTATATCGGTCCTCATAATGCTTCAAATCAAAATGAAGTCAAATGTCTTTAAAAGAAACCCATCTTGTGACTTTATCTATCATATCTCGAGATCACAATAATATCATAATAAAAAGATATAAATTAAATGCATGCTCAAAATAGTTCATGGATACAGAAAAGATATTTTATTATCAGAATGGACCGTACCCGAAAACATATGTTATCAAAACATATTTGGAATTATTTCAAACATGTGACCCAGATGTTTTGCCCAAAAAATAAATAAATAAAAGTCAATATACAATCATTAGTTTTCATAAACGTCCACAAATTGTGAAAATTGAAGGGGCATTTGCAAAAATATCCAATTTTACATATGTCAGTTCAAAAATGTTCAATTTTGATTATCTTCGCAAAAATGGTCAAATTTTATACAAATTCTTTATTTTATCCTTAATGAAAGAATAAATGATTTCATATTACACGTGTCAAATCACAATTAATGCTAAACACAGAAATGTTGAGAACAACATTTAAAGTGTAGAGAAATGTCATATTCAAAATAAACTGTCATTCTAAACATTTAATTTATCGAGAACAACGTAATGTCAAGAACATTTAATATTATGATTTGACATGTGTAATTTTGAAATATAAATGGATTCAAATATCGAGAACGACATTTGAAATGTCGAGTACATCATTTTAATGTAACTTCTAATGGAAGCTACTTAGGGGTACTCTCGTCCAAATAATTTCAAAAATGAACATTGAAAAATTTTGGACATTTTTGCAAATAACTATGTCAGAATAGATATTTTTTTTTAATTCCACAAAATTGAATACATAAGCACATACAATAACTTTTTATATCACCTTGTGCTTTTTATTCTTATTTTTTCCGCCACAATCTTTACAACAAATTGTAAGATGGATCGCGTTAAATCACTTATTGTGATAACATTTTGTATGTTGTAAAATATCTTACCACAAAATCACAATTTTATATATTGTAGTGCATCCCACCTATCCCGCCCATACATCATTTGATTGACATTGATCTTTCCGTGTGTACTATTTTTATTAATTTTTTTACTTAACATTCCTATAAGTAAAGAACATTAATCATAGTCCAACTACATTATTTATTGGACTATTCTTGTTTATCAATAATATATACTAATAAGCAAGACGGGAAATATAAAAAAACACATAAGTGAGCTCAATGTGTCAAATATTCATAATATTCCATTTATGAAGCTTACATTAAATACCTATTCTGTATTCAGGTTCTTTAAATGTTTTTGGTACAAGTCCTTTTGTCAATGGACCTACAACTAATAACGATAGGTTTTGAAGAGAGCATAGAATGTTGTGTAGGCTTTTCAGTGTTATTTTGTGCGCTTCCAGCAAACTTTCGATGATTTTTTCGATCAATAGAAAGAGATATATCTGGTGAAAGAGAAAAAGGAAAGGATTAGAGATAGAATGTGGTGGGATGTTATGTTGGAATCCTTTTAGGATGTTGATGGTAGGCCTGTGCATGATTTGGGTTGGGTTGATTTTGAGTCCAACTCAAAACCGAAACCGACTTGATTGGTTTGGATAAATTCCAATTCTAATTGACCCAATTCAGTCATTGAAATTGAACCGAATCAAACCAACGATTTGGTTTGGTTAATTGGCTTGGAATTTGTGCGAATAAAAAAAAAAAAAAATTTGTCTACCTATATTGGGTTAAAACATTTGTTTTTTCATACATATAAATTTTTTCTGGCATTATGCATATCAATAATATACATAATGTAAATGGTAAAGAATCAATTTTTTACAAATCATTATATATAGAAATCTAATAGTTACTAACAAACAATTACACCAAAATGAAAGTAAGGCTAAAATCTAAATTCAAAGTTTATGTCAAACGCTTCTTCTTCTTGCTTTCTTTTCTTTAGGCATTTAGAGTTTTGGTAGAAAAAATAATGACGGTAAACAACTTATTTAGATAAAATTATATTTGTGTTTTTATTATTTTTTTATGTTTAAAAAGATGAATTTTAAAATAAAATATAAAAAATATATTTGCAGGTTGGATCGGTCAATTAATGGGTTGGTTGCTTTAACCATAACCGACCCAACCCGACTTTTTAGTAGTTAAAAATTAACTGAACCAAACCAATTTTTTGGTTCAAACCAACTTGGACCGAACCAAACTAACTCTAGTTGGTTTGATCGGTTTGGTCGATTTTTCGATTTTTTTTGCCAATCCCTAGTTGGTGGGAAGTAATTATATATTGCTAGGGGATTGTCCATGATGACATGGCAATGTCTACCTGTGCCGCCTGCTTCAATATTTTACTTTTCATGGATCCCATATGTAGGCACGATCCTTCATCTATCAATCGAGAACCTGTCCGTGTTAAACTAAACGTTCAATTTTAACTTTCAGCCAGCTGGGATAACATTTGTTACGAAGGTGATTGATCGAGTATCTATCTTTTCCTTCTATGGTTAGGGAAAAGTGACTGATCGCACTTACATCATTTGACCTCCTACTCACAAGTCAATGTGAAATTGATTTTTAAGTGCTATACACACAATATTTTTCTCTTTACTATAGCCTCCAATCTTATCACACATCATATATGGAATATGTGTTAATTCTCTAAGGTCATATCCAACCATGCACCAAAATTTGCACCAAATTAAAAATTATCTTCATCTCATTACACCAAATGAACAGCGTTTAACCATTTTCTTCATTTTTTTAATTCTTAATAATTTATATAGCTAAAAAATTATTTATTTATTAATTTATTACTACATAAATTACCCACATAAATAATTATGTTGTACAAAAATATTAAATTCGTTAATAAATTTTAAAAATGTAGTACAATTAATAAAAGTATCACAATTAAGAAAATATTAAATCATGTTATGAAAAAATAATGTAGTACATTTTGAATCCCGATATTATAATACGACAAAGTCGACTTAGTGTCGTAATTTAGTTATCAAAATTCATATAGTCATCCACAAATGTTCAATAAATGTATTTTAAAGTGCAGCATCTTTATCATTGATTTGTCTATGACGAACAAGGAATTCTTGAAAACTATGATTTCGTCTTCAACCAACTCAACTTCTGGAGTAGCCGCTTGCTTAAAATCTTGAACTGTTGCATTAAGATTGTGTTTGTCCTCGATTATCATTTTGTGCATAATAATGTATGTAGTCATTATATCATGTAATACATGTTTGTCCCAAAAACGTGCTGATTCTTTTACAATTGTGAACTTTGATTGTAGAACTCCAAATGCATATTCAATATCTTTTCTACATGCTTCTTATTTCATTGCAAAACAATTTTTTTTTCGTGGACCGTGTGACTCATGAATCATTTGCACAATAGTAGACCATTCAGGTATATACCATCAACTAGATAATACTCCATGTTGTATTGTTTTTCTTGAATGAGATGTTGTGCCGATGGAGCAATACCCTGAGCGAGGTTCGCAAAAAGATAGGATATTTCCAAAACATTTGATATCAATGTTTGAACTCGAAAGTTCAAAATATGCATGTCATATCCATAGATCATAATCAGTTACAGCTTCGAGGATAATAGTTGGGGATCCACTACGACTTGTAAATTGTCCTGCCCATGCCATTGGACAATTTTTCCATCTCCGATGCATATAATCTAGACTGTCCAACAACCCTGGAAAACCACTTTGTTTACCAATGTAGAGTAGTCTCTCAACATCGTTTGCAGTAGGTGATTTCAAATATTGATCTGCTAATATTTCTATGATAGCATGACAAAATCTCTTCAAATTTTCAATAGTTATTGATTCTTCTATTTTAATGTACTCATTAGTAGCATTTGCTACTACTTCATACGCCCACCTCCGAAACGCTGCCATTACCTTTTGAAGACTAGACAATCTGAGTCTATCTAGCCCATTTGGCTTTTGCACAAAATAGTTGTCATGACCTTTTACCGCCATTAGTATTCGAGTGAATAAACTCCAGGACATTTGGAATCATTGAGGAAACATCTTTTCATTGTAACGTAGGTTATCGAAAAAATAGTCGTTGAAGAGATTTACATAAACTCTTTCCCGGTCACGATTGATGTTTCTATGCCCAGGAATACAGCCTCCATGTGCCCATTGATTAGTATGTTGATCAGTGTACTCAGCAATAAGGAGGTTTCTATTTGAACATATACGAGTAATCGCTTGTTATTGTACAGCAAGAAAATCGTTATCACTTTCACCATCCGATAATGATGAGAAATCTAAAGAAGATAGATAAGAGAGACCCATTTTTTAATGGTATGTTTGAAGAATGAGAATTACCATATTTCAATACTGCTTTTTATTGTTGCCAAATACATGGTCCACCGTTAGATAGAATATCTGGGATAAACTATCTCAACCTTTAGATTGGATTTCATCAAGATCTAAATCAATCAATCTAATCCCACAATTCTTATCCTTTCATATTGAAGATAGAGTATCTGGGATAAACTATCTCAACCTTTAGATTGAATTTTATCAAGATCTAAACCAATCAATTCAGGGTTATCCATGTTGGATGACAATGAATCATTATATATTTATTTTTTGTATTTCATTTCAACATTTTTCTTTTTCATTTTTTCAAAATATTTATTATGTTGGTTTTATGGGTTGATTAGTACTTGCTTTTATAGTGTGGAGAGTCGAACAAAGGATAACTCCTCTCGAGTTCTATGTTACAAACTTTCGATAAAATTGCAGCCAATTATGGAACAAAACTTGGTAACTTGTCTGTTATGCAATTCGATTGTGGTCTATGACCGATTGCTGCCAACAGATTACGGGGCTATGGCAATACTGAAGACAAGTAGCAAAGCATAATCTTAACAATCTTAAGGAATTGTACCAAGAGGAATTTGCACATCAAGGTAACACTCATAGGATGCCAATGGCTTGTTTGATATAATGGATCTCGAACAATATTGCAATGTACTAAAGAAGAAACGAAATTAAAATATTGCATTGTCTTGTTCAATACTACATACAAAATGTGTCCAAACATGTGATGCAGCAAAAATAAATACTTAAATAGATCAAACGCTTATTAATTTACACAAATACTGAGAATTTGACCAAATACTTTGAAAGCTCTAAAAACAACTTTACTCAATTCAACCTCCAACAGCGAACAACTAGTTGCTGAAAATAAACCCATAAAATAAAGGAAAATAAGCGCAACTTCATAAAAGGTGCCCCATTTGACCACCATAAACAGTGGAATTCGGCCAATTTTTAGGGTGACAATGGACCTAGCTTCCTTAGATAGTCGGGCTTGGCTCGTGTCCAAAAAATTTGGTTGGTTTTGTCCTTTGGCTCATGGGTCGAGTGAAGCCATCCACGAGCAGAATTATTTTTTAAATTACAAAAAATAAAAATTCTACCCTCATTTTTTCCAGACATGGGATCATCTATTTTTTACTCTGACTGATGACCCCTTGAAAACCCGTAAGTGAATGGAATCATGAGCAAGTAACATAATAGTATGTAGATTGTCGAATTCATGAGAACTATGTGTTTGATCGAATTAAAGCTATTAATATCCTTAATTGAATAGCAGTAAAGAGTGTAGCAAATTGAAGTCTAAATTATCAACTAACTTGAAAGCAAAGTAAAAGTTTATCGAATTCGTGAGATGTATTGTTAAGATGTAGAATTTCTCTCGCTACTCAATTATTAGTTCAATAATTTAAATTGACAATTTGAAATATGCTTATTGGTCAATGTTCCTATTTTAATTGAAAATATCTCTAGATAGTTATCCAATCTATTTCCCTTATGTGACATTGCTATCTCTCAATGAAATATGTGAACATAATAAATGCATTAAAACAAGCTGGAACATCTTTAAAAAAAATAAAAAATAAAAAAATATATATATATATATATATATCGAACACTATCAAGCATAGGTGAGTCATAGATATATCAAATATAATACTAAAAAATTGTCCTCCAAAGACATCAATTCGAATTAAATATTTAAATTTGGTGAATAAGATATTGTTGATTTCTTTGGTTACTAAATGCATCTAAATAAATTATCATTGGAACTTTCGATTTGAATGATATTTTGCGAGAATTTAGATGATGATGCATTTGTACATTATTTTTAACTTTTTAATTGTTCCCCTTAATGCTGAAAGAATTGTCCAATTAAATTGAAAATAATTTTTTCAGCATTATAAAATATCACCCATTTGAGATAAGAGTTCAAACTATATATTTATTATCAGCATTATTCATTTTTCATCTCAGTGCATTGCGGTGGTTCAATTTTACATATACTGCACTATCGAAATAATTAAATAAAAAAATTAGGCTCTGATCATAAGTCAATTATAATATGGAGAAATATAATATTGGCATGATACATAATATAATTTCTTAAACAAAAATGAGAAGTACTTTGTTTTCAATTAAATTAATTAGAGACGTTTAACAAACAATTGTGTTAAATCATTTATTAACATCCCAACTAACCCTCAATAAATGTTGAGAACATTAACAAAACACATTGTTTATAATATAATCTGAAAATTATGTTCATAATTTAAAATTTGAGAAATAATTTTACAAACTCCAGGTTGCGATCTAGTATATGTTTCAAATCTATTAAATACAAATAATATTTAGATATCAACATGGATTATAATGGAGTCCCATTTATTATCCTGATTAACTTTCAGAAATATAGGGAATTTAATCCCTTTTTTAGTTAGTGCTGGCTAATAAAAAATTTTCATGAAAAAGAAGAAACATCATATAAGATTTCATTGTATTGAAGAAACTTCTAGCTCTTCATTACATATCCATTTGAATTTTTAAATTCCTCATCGTTATTAATCTAGCGATGATCCAACTGGTCATGCGAAACCATAAAACTCAAATTGAACTTCTAATTCAATAAAGATATTAAATGATTCAATTTCAAAGAATACAATTAAAACTTATATAATCATATATCGTTTAAATAGTCAAACTAAGCAATGTCCCCATGACAATGTTATATATTTTTCTTTAGAGATAAACGTGAAATCAAAATAATTAATTATTCAAAAATATGCTATTTTGAGAGCACATTATATTTTATTATTACTCATTTAAAAATAATATGTCAATGTTCTTCTGGAATATTTAAAATTATAATTCAAACTCTTAAGGAGCAATCAAATGTTATTATAATAAATTATACAATGATTTAGTCGTCAACAGTAAAAATATAATTTATGTTAGATCATATTTAATTATGTTCTTT